TCGGAAATACGCCTATTTCTCGAGAACCACTCATTAGAATTTCACGAAATTTGGCGCGAAAATACTTTAGAAAATAAGTAACTGGAGTACTGAAAATGACTGAACTTTAACGGAGGAAATTCTAGATATTCCAGTGAACCTTCAACAAAAGATATTAAAGATCTCTCTGTTAAATTATTAGCAAAATGGTGTTAACTTCTAAGAATCGTTACAAGCTTGTTGCATGCAAATTATAAAGAAAATCTAATGACTAGATTTTTTACAAACAAACAAAACCGATTTCAAAGGCTTGTTTATATTTATTCATGTTGCCATGGCAACGGCACATACGTCAGCTTAACCATCAAAAAACCAAAGTTTGTNTAACTTGCTCAGTTGCTGCCATTTTTTGACGACCGAGGGATCAAGGGTTTTAGAGAAAAAGGTGAATGAAACACAGGTATCAAAAACTGCGTTCAGCCACCTTAATAACACAATTATTCCACTAACTCGGCGCTATGCCCCTCGTTGGCTATCTACCATCTCATATCCAACGCGCGCTCGTGGAATAATTGTTAACTAGCACAGCCAGGAGCAGTGGATAGGTGATTGTTAAAATGTGTCTTTTTTACCGTCTACACTGGCGGGAAGGTACAGGAAGTCTGATACAAAAATACATATATTTGATGCAATGTGTCTGCTTCGAGATAAAATCTGAAGAAGAAAGCATCTCTTAGCTTCACTAACGTGCTGCTGTTGTTACTTTTGCTTCCCAAGGAGGGGGAGGTGGCATGGGTCGCTGGGTGGTAAAGACAGAGGACTCACTATTGAAGTCTGGATAGCAGCTGACAAGTTAAATCAAGTCCAAACCAGGGGCCCGTTTCGCGAAGGTCCCGAAAAGTTTTCGCACCCGAAAAGCCGTAGCAAAATCTCAAACCTTATGATTACAGAGCTGTTTTATTCACATATTCTTAATATGAACATAGTTCTCGTCATAAAAGTTGTTTCAGACGTACACACCTCTCTGTTTTTAGATACAGATTGATTAAAAATTGCTTTGCGGGCCCGAAAAGTTTCCGGGGCTTTGGAGAAAAGGGCCCCAGGCTCTATTTTATAACTGAATGATGGTGCGATTCCTGGAATGACGTCATTATCGTGCTAAACGACTGAAGAAAAAACAACACTTATTCCTCGGTAAATAGACAGGTGTTTCCAGTTATAATATTGTGCCTCACACACTGTCACAGAGTGGCTTGTACAAAGCAAGAATTTAGATTTTTTCTGATGGATTCAGATTTCTTTTCAAAGAGTTTTAAAACCTTATCGTGAATTAGTTCCGCACTTAGAATTGTAAACTTATTGTTATTGTAATCTACGGGAAATGTCATAACATTTAAGCAATAGAACACTTTTTCCGTGTTTACATAGCCTCATCTATACATGAGTAGGGTTCGGAGAATTCGAGACAGTTATACAAACCCAAGACGTAGTCGAGGGTTTGCATAACCTTCGAGAATTCTCCCAATCCCCAAATGTTTAGATGAGGCTATGTAAACACGGAAAAAAGTACTCTATTGCTTTTATAAAATAATTCTCAAAAATACGCGTGTTTACATGCTCTCATCTAAACACACCTATTGACCAATGAGAGCGCGCGTAGTAGCTCAGTTATTTTATAAGGCAATGTATGAATCCTAAATGCAGAATAATTATAAATTCATAAATGCTGACATAGAAAGGAACTTTTCTCTAAATCTTACGATTACTTATAGTCTAGCATTTCGTCTAATATCGGTGATTTATTCATATTACCTGTTCTCAAATATGAAGTAGATTATTTCCAATTAACACCATTATTTACCTATATCTTGAACAATTTCCTCGAACTTATCTTGAACGGAAGATCTAAACGTTTAGCAATTTCCTTTACGGAGTTGGTGTTTATAAGACTTCACTTAATTGTTTATTTTGCTGTAAACCTTAAAGTTCACATGCCATTATTATCGCATCGTGAGCATATATAAGCAAGCACGTACTGTACTCTATTTGACTGATTTACCTTGATCTACCTTGATTTACCCTGAATTACCTTCGACCTGTGTACTACGAGTTTTAATCTACAATTAAGAAGACAAGAGAGTTCCAAATCTGTGAGAGTCCTTGCTGATTTACTGTCCGGCTGACGAGAGACAACGACCCTGTACCTTTGCGGCATTAAATAACGAGTGCCGTGCAGCGAGCCTCTGCTTTTCGAGCTTTCCTCAAGACAAGTCCGTCCGCCGTTATTCCTGTATTCCACAGCACCAAAGCTGATAGTCCATATCCGTCCCTAACCGCGCAGTTTCGCACGGAAAATCTTTCGTTACAATATTTAGCCTGAGCGAGGTTTTAGAGCCATAGGCATCCTGGACAAGTTCAATTTTACAAGGCATTGTCCTCGGCGTCGCTGTTGTCATTGTTAAGATCCCTATATTTGCATCTCGGATGCTGGAAGGTCGATACACTTGTTTAACGTGGGGTTTCTCATCCTAAGTGGCTGCTTTGTGCTTTGCTCATGTTTTGTCCCAAGACCAGTCGAACGCCTGTGACAGTATCGTGTAAAAACCGTAAACAATCACATAAGATGCAGCTCTTTGCCAAGGTTCTTTTTAATTCAGCGATTAAGTTGTCGAGCGTTTCGGTAGGAAGTTTTTCCCTCCTGCTGAAACAATCTCGTTTACGTTACTTCGCCGATGCAATACATTTTCATCTTCCTCGTTACTACACGGCAATCGTTTGCATCTTCTTCTTCAGTATAGCTTAAGGCTTTGAACACTTATTAACGGCCATCGTCATCAATAACGTTCTTGAACGTGGCGAGTTGATACTCGGGGCTTTACAGCTCCAAACCAAGTAGTGATTACAGTGTTTCTCTTTCCATGGCTTCCAGTTGTCGGGATCTCACTACTTAATTGACCTGAAATCTAAATATTGCGGAGACAATGATATCTCGTGGAACAACATTGAAAATTGTGATGCTTTAGGCGGCGAGGCACCGCGTCGGAAGTTGTTTTCGCTCGTAGGCATTCTTAGACGGTAGACGTTGTCGACGAATTTGAACTACCCTTTCGCTGCAACGTGCAATCTTAGATGGCAGAGAGAAACTTAAACGAACGTCATCAATCAAGGCTTAATATGGCTACTGTAACTCAAGATACACATGGTTAACGCGTATTTGAATATATAACTGTATGTATAGAATAGATTACAAAGCAGTTACAAAACA